TAAGCAGAAATTATAGCATTAAGCTATAGTTTGATGAAGCTTGGGGCCTCACCAGGCGTACAGGGCTATATACATCTGTTAATAGTCTCAAATTACTGGGGATGGGAGGATCCTAGATTTTAACTGCTTTTTCAGTTTCTTATTTTGTCAATCACACAGACATATCATACTACCATAAATGCTGTAAGGGAACAGACTATGTATTGGGAGAGGGACTAATTTTTTAATTCAAATTATAAGAGAAAGTTTATTCAGAAAGTTACAGAGATAGAGGTGAGCGAGTTGGGTTGCCAGGCTCAGGAAACAAGTTACAGAGGCAGCAGAAGGGCCCTTGGAGCCTAGGAGGAGGAACGGCAAAGGTAACTTGCCTGGGGGGAAGAGGAGGGAAGGGGAAGGCACGGGCGGGGCTGACCGATTTGACAGAATACCTACTATGTACCAGGTCTGAGATAAAACTCTGCCGTGCGTCTAGCAATCCGCCTGGCACAAAGTAGATGATGGGTAAACATTTGGTAAGTGAATGGCATCAATGTGCCTGCCTAAGCAGGTCCACTCCCTTATTTACTGTTTCTAATCTGCCATAGTTTGGAAAACAGACACCCAAGTGTGAAAGAACCCATTTAAAACGCCTGGCATGGTGCTTTGCACACAGCGGAGCAGCATGACAAAACTGTGTGTGCTGATCTGAACTGAGGGTGGCTAACAGTGAGCACTTACAATGTGCCAGAAATTGTGGGAAGTTTCTTACACACATTACCTAAGACAGTACTATAAGGCAGATAATATTACCCACATTTTATACGCAGATACTAAGGTTCAAAGTGGTTGAGTAATCTGTATAGTCAGTAGCGGTAGAACATGAATCCAGGCAATCTGACGCCAGACAAGTGGCCTTAAGCACAATACTACACTGCCCCAAATGTACAGTAAGTAAACAACGCAAGGTCGGAAGGACAAGAAATTTATAACTTTGGTTTAAATCTGGAAGTCTTCTTTGCTGACTTTCTGACTCTCAGGTATGTTCTCAATGGTGAGGGTTACTATATGTAAACATTATACTGACAGGCCCAAGCAATAAACTATGAAAGCTGGGCAAGCAAAAGATTAGTGGACAAGCTACTGTGCACTAGAGATGATGGGTTCCAAAGAAGCAGAAGTCTGAGAGATCAATGTCTATTAGGGTCACTAGGGAGGGCTTTGAGAAGTTAAGACCTAAGCCTAAGCCGTGTAAGAGAAAAGGGGTAGGGTAGAGAGGGGTATTGTGTAGCTTAAAAATAACACAAAGCTTTTCTGGAATTGCGGGGGGCGGGGTGGGCATAAACAGATGACTAGTGGAACTGATTAATAAATAAATGAAAAGACTAACACACATGTGGTTTGGGACATTTATATCCACTGCAGCTGTAAGTTCCTATTCCTGATACCTTTACTTGGTCACTCAAACAGCTNCTGATTAATAAATAAATTAATTAAAAAATAAATAAATGACTAACACACATGTGGTTTGGGACATTTATATCCACTGCAGCTGTAAGTTCCTATTCCTGATACCTTTACTTGGTCACTCAAACAGCTGGACAAACTGTGGGGGTAGGACATGGAAGCTAATGCAAAGGGCAAGCCAGAAACTATGACTCCACTGCTCTTGTTAAATACTCGGGGTCCCTAAGGTGGGGAGTGTGGACAGGGTGGACCTATTCTCTACTATTTCCAAATCTCAAAACGTAGGACATGCTGACCTAGGGATTATTTAAACATTTGCTCAGAAGTCTTTCACTAGGTTGAGCCAGAGTCACTAATTAATGACACACCTAGTGTAACAAGTGCCTGCAGATCCTCCCTGCCCCTAGGAGTCACAGGGGTGAGAGGCCGGCTCTTAGGCTATCTACCATCAACAACAGACATAGGAGCAAGTTAGGAGTCAGCTCCCCTAGGCAGGGAATGGAGACACCACCGCCCACACTTTATGACAAACTGGACATATTATACTAGCATGAGGCCCAACATAGAAACACTGCTCAACAAAGATTTCCTAGTATTGCTTAACTACACGGCAGCTAAATCCTCAGCAAAATTTCAAGTCTTTGAGTGAGAGAACACTAAGAGTAACTTGACCTGTACTTGAAGGCAGGAGATATGTGCAAGTTTCTCACTTCAGCAGTATATACTAGGGGTTAAGGTTATCTCTGGCAAACCTCCAAATGCTACATCATTCAGCTCATTAGAAACAGGCACCTCCAAACTTGTACAGTCTTTCTCTCATCTCTCAGATATCAAAGTGATCCAGGTAAGATTCAAAACCCAATTCACTCATTCGAAGTACATTTATTCAACACCTGCGAGTTGTCAAGCACTGATCTAGGGACTGGGAATATACATATGAGAAGACTAAGTCACTCCGAAAGATGGAAGTGTACCCATCCATTGTCATTACCATTCAAGGCTCTGCAGGAAGTTCTTCTAGTGTTCCACTAACACCGAATGAGTCTCCTTTCCCACTTCTTTGCCTGTCACCATGGTGTGCCCACCAGGAGCACTCTACTTCACCTACCCAAATCCTTACCTCCTTCAAAGTCAGCAGAAGTCCCTCTCCTCCTGGAAGCCCTGATATCCATCTCATCCCAAAGTGGCATCTCATTTCTCTGAACTACTAACAATTACAGTGAGTACCATCATCAGTTTATTTAGAAATGTTTCATCCCCTGATACTTTTATTTATTCAACAAATCCTGAGTACCAATTATGTGACAGCATTGTTCTAGGGGCTGGAGAAATTGCAGCAAACACTAGTGGTGTTTGCATCCCCAAAAGAACGCTTAAAGAGAGTTTTTCTCTTATACTACTTTTAAAACCTTCCTGTATTGGAACTGGGTTCCTACTCAGTGCTTAATACCTAACAATTTATTAGCACCTTGGGCTTCCTTGGTCCAAGCCCACCCAAATTGAAGTTACATAAACTAATGGGGAACAAAAGCAAACCAAGCCATTTCTAAATGAACTTCCACTTCTTAAAAACCTCAAAAGAACAAGGAAGGAAAAGAAAACCGGCTATGAAAGTGCTGCTGAACCAACACATTTCACTCACGCTGACAATTCCTCCCTCCAAGACAAGGAAAAGTGATCCTTTCCTCTAACTGCTTATGGCTCAGGTTCAAGTGTTAATTTTAACACCAGACCTTGGAGAAGTTTAGAGCACCCCTCAGTTTCCTAAACAAGTCTTTCTAAAGCTTTATTTCTTGATGAATAATCCCCCCCCCCCATGAATCCTGCATATGCCACTTAACAGGCTGACTAATCCAATGAGGTTCACTACAAGACACTAGAATTTGAGCTTCAAGCATAAGAGGGGCTCAAAGGACACTCTGGAGGTGACAAGTCTAGAGACAATTTTAATATAAACAACAAAAGCCAGGTCCTGCAGAGCCCAGTGGAAGATTCCAAGTTCTCAAAAGAAAGGAATCAAGAGGAGCGCCGCGACATTCTCCAAGAAGTGGCAGTTTTTGCAGGAGATGAGGGAGATTTTTAAAATATATCTATTTTTTGCTCTAAAATGACTTGTTACGTACGACAGCTGGCACCCTACAGCGGGCGGGGGTGAAGCGGGGCTGTGCCATGCGGCAGAGGCTGCCACCTGGGCACTCCCACCATTCTTCGGAGCCAGGTCTGGACGCGAAACGAAGAGAGTGGCATGTGCAGGGCGCCGCTCGAACCCGCACCCGCGTTCCTGGTCCCGTGGGCCGCCTGCCCTCGCCTCGGGGCACCCCGAGAACCCACCTCGCCCGGGTCTCGGGAGCCTCCATCTCTCCAGGGACCCAAGAGACTGGCCCCCGGGCGGCTGCCCGGCCCCGGTGCGTCACCCACCTGAGCAGACTGGAGAGGGGATGGCTCGAGGA